ATTTCAGTGTTTAATAATTTGAAGTATTTTTATTTCAACTGTATTTCATAGTCTGAAATTCCTGAATTTTAGTATATTTTAGCGTAATGTTTTTGTAATGTATTTGTTGATGTATACTGTAAGTAATAGTATTAATCGTAACTAAAGAACATTTCAAGTGCAGAAAATCTTCACCACTCTCATCTATTTCTTTTTTTCTTTGTTTTATTGTTGTTTGTATTTTATTGGTATTTTTATTCAGAATAGAGTAGCAATTAATGCTGATACCTACATCGTTAATGTTTAAATATCACCTCTTGAAATATAAAGTAAGAGATCACTCTAGAATCGTATTTCATGCTAGGAAATAAGTAGCATGCATATGAAATAGTTGCGCGATTGGATTATTCGACTCTTTTCCTTTCTCGTCATTACTTCCTGTGTCGTCAACTTCAACGTCATCGTTTTCAGAATCCAACTCTGCAATTCATTCAAGTTGATTTTGCTTCACATGACGAATTAATACAGCAAAAATGTAATGTTATTTTCAATCTATACACAAACACAAATAGTTTAAAATGAAAATAACAAAATTTTTATTTTTAGATTTTTAAAAAATGCAGGGATTACAGATATTTGTAAGACCTATAAAAGTTTTCAAAACCAATCAACTTTCAGCGCTTTATCCCTATGAAAAGTTGAAAAAAGTTTGTTAACAATTGCTAATGGTATCATAACTTTCTATTTGAAAATATATGCTTACTTGAATTACTTAAACAAAATGGTGAGGAAAAAATTAGTGAAGGAATGCAATTGGTTCTCGTTATGTCTTTTGAAATTTAAATTTTACAAGCCTTTTGCATGTCTACTTTTTTTTCGAAAATATTCCATTATTTAATTAAGCATTTAATAAATTAAAACCTATCTACCGTCAACAGAATCGCAATTGGATTTTAATTCATCATTGGATTTAATGTCCATCTCCGAACAAGCTGTATCGTTTGCTTCTGATATTTCCTGTTTCCGCTGGATTTTCTTCAGCTGCAGATAATTAGCTTTATTCAAAGCCTAATCAACTAATCAAGTAATCCAGATCAACTTCAGAAGATATTTCCAATTTTTGGAAAGTAAACTTGATGATTTACGAATCGATTTTCAAGCATTACATATCTTATAGTATGCACAAAATGCTTCTCTATAATCTGTTCAAAAATGCAACTTCATTGTGAAAATTACAATTATGATTTGTTAAAATTGCATATTTAAATGCTTACTTTGGCACGTTGATTTTGAAACCAAACTTGGACAACTCTTACACTTAAATTTGTTTCTTTTGCTAGTTGCTCACGCACCTGTAACCAATATTTTTAAAGAATACATTTAACTCTATTGATATTATTCTTGTTCTTTTTCTAATTAAACCTTTGCAAATCTTTACAAATATTTAAAATGAAATATTGAGTGTAAAACATTAATTAAATTTCGAATTTATTATTAAGGTAAAAAAAAAGGAAAAGTAATTCCTTGGATGACTAAAAGACCTTTCGACATGGTTTCGATGTCTTCTCGAAGGCTAGCTTGAAAGCTTTCCGTTGCTGGGTGTTTAAGATAGTTCGTGGTCTTTTCGGTGTCTTTCGATTCGAATCATTTTGATCGAAATATACTAGATTTATTTCAATAATTATTAAAATAGAACAATTCTTTTCACTCTAAGCCAACATAAATAAAAATGAGTAAATTCTAGTAGGAACAGCAAGGAAAAATATTGGATATGAATTGAAATGGAAATTTTAAATCAATGTTATCAACAAAGTTTGGGATCATATAAGGGGGAATTTACGAAATATTTGCAAAATTAGCAGATTATAGTAAATTTTTTTTTTTTGAGCGAATAGGCATGAATGTTTTGTTTAAGACATTCTACGTGTTCAATTTCAGGAAAATGGATTTTCGGCATTATTTATCTTCGACCGTCTGCTGTGGATTCTTATATTTCTCTTCTCAGCTACAGATACAGCGAGTCATTTTACATGAAATGCAGAACTTACAATGGGATTGACACATCGGTGCTTGACATAACAAATGTTCATAGTCTGGTCTGCAAATGATTTGCCCATCCAACAACATGTAATGGTCACCTTTTTTGAACAGATGTCCACAACAAAAACATTTAAAACAATGAAGGTGATAAATGCTTGCAAATACTCGATAAACATAATCTGTGGACTGAACTGGTAGGCCACATCGCATACATTTCACACCAAAAAGCCTAGAAATCCTGATATCTTCTGATTAACAGAAAATCATTGAACTTTGTATAGCTGCGGCATTTTCATAATTCTCTGTTTCTTTACTTTTTAATTTCTTTTATAATATCAAAAAAGGATGATAACAGTGTTGATCAAAGCAATGATGCTGTTAATAGGAAAGCATTTAATAGTTAATAACGCTTTCTTCCAATATGTTGACAATTATTTGTCTTTTTAACGCACCGTAAAATAAGTTTGGTAAAAAAAGTCCTAAAAAGTTCTTTTTTAGAGTTTATTGAAAATAAAATAATTTAAGAAATTAGAAATTACTGAATAAAACCGAAACTTAAAAAGTTCTGCTTTAAAGTTTATTGAAAATGAAATGGCTTAATCATTCACGAAATTGGAAATTGTTAAACAACACTAAATGTTTTTTGACTGAATGACTTTCTCATTTTTTTTTTAAGTTTTCGAACACTTTGAAAAAATTAATGCAACATCTGTAGTAATTCATAATCACAGATATAAAGCATTGCAATGATAATTAAATATTGGTCTGATCAAAGATCATATCTTAGCTGCTAACAACAATTTTAACGATACGTAAAACGTATACAAGGAACTGAAGTACCCGAGTTTCCTCCGGAAATGTACCATATAACTACTGCAGGTGACACTTTTGTTCCTATCAAGTATTGCTTAATCCGTAATGGAAGTCAAAATGATGCATTAATACTGTTAAAACGACATGATAGGGTATTACTGTTATGGAGATTGAATGTAACGGAGAGAAGAGAAAAAAGAAAGTACAATTTTTCAAGTAATAGTAATGAATAAGATATTAAGTGATGCGCGGAATAAATGACAATTTTCAGACTACATTTGGCAGATGACCGGAACCGCAAAAGTGGCTAGTTGACCCGGTTGTAATGGCTTTCTAAGCGGCTTACATCATCAATTCATGTTTATGAGAGTAGAGCATTTCAGCTGCTTTGCTTGCCGACTATTTTAACAAAAAATTTTCGTTGTCTTCATTCAGATTCATATCTAAATTAAATTACTCCGAGATGATTCGGGATTGATGCATCGAAAAAATTACATTCAGAAAACAGAAAATATGGTATTTATTTGTTTGACCTGACCGGATTTGGATGATTAGTTGGCAATAAGAGACTTGACAATACTTCTATGCCTCTGAATTGACAATGATCGATCATCACCAGTATTGAGTGGATGGCCTTATTACAGGGAGAAATAATATGTGTTATTGCATCACAACACAAGCTAGATAAACTAAATCATTTTGTTTGAAAAGTAAAAATCGTAATTCTGAATTGTTCACTTAAGATGAGTGATTTTAATTCAAAATTTTTTTTTAATGCTAACAGGATACTTATTATATAAATAAATTAAAGAGAATTTCAGTATTCAAATTCTTTAAATTTTACTCATTAACATATTTCATGATGGAAGTTAGCGGCAATATGTGATTCATATGATGTGCATTGTACCGTATTTGTCGTCTATAATGTGTTATAACCATTTCCAATGAAAAGTGATATTAGAGAAAATATTGAATGCGCTATGAAAGGAATGAAGGAACATTTGAGGTGCAATGAAATGGTTGTCATTTCCTTTCCTTTAAAATGTCTTTTGTGGATAATGGATAAAAGAAAATTAGTACGAAATATCATGAGAAAGAGGATAGATGAAGAATCGGTGCTAAACAAATAGAGCTCATCGGAAAAGATTGCCTGAAGCAAGGAAGAGGTGCTTAGGGATGACATATACAAATAGACAACAAACGGAAGGGTTGGAGCAGAAGGTAACGGATCAGATCTGAAGAGGGAGGACAATATTCGGATGACTAATACAAATACCGTAAGCAATTGCAATTGTGGATATTTCATGGATTGTGTGTTCGTCGCACCTTTACCACTCCTTCCCCCTCTTCTCCATACTTCAGCGACAAAAAAACAATTTCGTCACGAAATTTTATGGAATTGCTCCCGAGAAATAAAAGATTTTCAGTTGGACAAAAACAAAAACCTTTCCTTCACAAAATACTCTCCGAGGAAATACCTCTCAAGGTATTTGAGATACTCAGGAAATACCTTTCAAGTTTTTCGTGACGTGAAAGGATTTAAATTCATCGATTAAAGTACCTTCAAGTGCAAAAATGTCTTTAAAATATTAAAATTTCGTTATTCACAAGTAAGTGGCTAACAAAATGATGAAATTCATCGGTGTAGCAAATATCTTTAAATATATTTTGCTAACAGATTTGATTGCCCGTGACCTAGCACACTCCAGTTACTTCAAACAGATCCATCCATGTAAAAGTTATTGCGTAAAGTCTCTGACAGTAGGGAAGAGACAAAGGAATCGGTGGCCAAGATACACTGCGTGTAGTTTATCACCCAAGAATATAAGTGCCTTGCCGTAATTATTCGTTTGGCCTAAAATTAATTGAACTAATTTAACCTTTTTTATCCAATGGAGTATAGAATGCAGGAGAGGTGAGTGGGGAGAACGATTACATGATAAAATTTCCATTTCATTAAACACTGTTTTTATAACAGTTAGTACTCAAAATTGAATATGCTTAAATAAGATAAGAGACGATGCGTTTAATGAAGCATGAATAGCTAGGGTCACAAACACGTAGACAATACAGATTTGTAAATTTACTTTGGTAATCACTTCTTCTGGAATTAAATCGAGCTATTCCAAAAATCTGATTTGAGTTCATTTCGCATAATAAGTAATCTAAGTAAATCTAAAACTACAATTTTAAGTTTAAGTCTTTACTATATTCATTCAGGATCAGCGATTTAGGCTTGATGAGGAAAAGAACTGATAGATTGCTGTGAATATAGGAGAAAAAGATCGCTTGTAAAGCCAAAAACTTTGAGAGCTTAGAAGTGCTTAAATATTGAAAATGAAAAACAAAGTAGTCAGTAGTTGAAAAAAGAAGATCGATCTTCTGGATCGAGAGGTCTATGGTTTTATTACAGCTAGTCGAATAAAATTAGTAAAATTTCAGGAAGAAGCATGACCCTTTGCCACAAGTTAATTTCATTTAAATTAAGATGAATCCTTTACGATAAGTTAAGAAAGGCAATGCGCTTGATTCCCTTGTGATCTGTGAAACCCTCAAGCTTTCTTGAGTAAATACAATAGTAACGGAAAAGCTCTTTGCCATATTATGTTTGTCAAAGTGACAATTTGCAGCTGCAACAATACATCGTTTACCGCAAACGAGCAGCTGCAGTGATGGCCCAGCAAACCATCCTCTCTGAAAAAATTGTAGCAATATTGGCAGGTTCTCTCTTCATCACATATCCGCTTCCGATCAGTTCAATTTTCTTCCACACATCTTTTTCCTAATATTCTCCTGTCTATCTGCCTTTTTTATTTCTCATTATTTAGTAAACTCGAATGCCGAAAATATTCTTCAGAAATTATTTGAGAAGTAATTATGTTGCTTCATTTTTATTGTACATGCAACTTAGTGAGGGCCATATTTGAGAGCTTCTGCTTTGCTTAAAAATTAAAGGAATAAACTTTAGTAGAGGAGATGAAGAATTCTCCCGAAAGTCATGGATGAAATGAATTGTAAGTGGTGATTTACTTGAGGGTTGTTCATCATGCAATACCAACAGACTGCTTTCTTCACTCAACAAAGCTTGTGCTATTTTAAAACGATCGATTAACATTGTTTAATTTTACTCTTCAAATTATAGTTAAATGTTTAGTAAACTGTTAAGAATTTGCTTCTTAACAGTTTACTAAATAGACAATGATAAGATCAACAACGACAAGATCTGCAAGATTTTTAAGGAGGAATATTTTAATCACATTACAGAGCACAATTTGAGCATATCTCTGTCCTTCTCTAATTGCGATATCATATTCATAAAAGAATTATTTGATTTTGGAATGAATTTTTGCAGTTATTCATTACTATTTGGAGACAAATATTGCTCATAAAAGAAATACTTTTCCAATTAAAAAAAACTGCAAATATGAATGCCTAAATATAATAAATTCCTGAATTATTTTCTACAGAATGATGAGAATATTATTCAGGTATTAGCAAAATATTTGTTTTTGGTTTCACATAAAATTAAAAAATACTTCCCATACATGATTAGATTAGTCACTTCTACTGAGTGATCATGGCATAAATCCTCAGTTGTTCTTTATGAAAGAGAAAAGAAACTATAAATTTAATTATGAAGCCTTTTTTTTTTTAATTGGAATCATCCTCCGTGATGTTACGAATAATTTAAAATCTTCATCATTGTATTGTGTCTTGAAATGCAAATAAATTATGATAAATAAGCAAACCAACTACAACAGTATTCTAATTAATTTCAATCAATTTAATTCAAATTCATTGCACTTACACTATGTAGTCCTCTTTACAGTAGAATTGCCCGCTACGTGAATAACATGTTGAACCGCTGAGCGGAATCCGGCAGCTACAGCAGATCAAACAATTCTCATGCCAGCAGTTGTCATCAACCTGAAGGCTAATATTATGAAAATGGCAAAATATACAAGGATTTCAAACAAAATAAGTAATTGAAGCCAACTTTTACTTACCTGTACCATATACTTCTCCTTGATCTCGTATCCACAACCGTTACAAAGAGCTAAACCCGCAACTGCAGGCGGTACTGTCACGTCATCGCAGTCCCCTGCAAATAAGCGTTGTTAGCATCCTTTAAACTTAAGTTTTATTCGAATGGCTTGTAAAATGTTAACACCATTTAGTAAGTGCAAAAAAGAAATCACTCATAAATCTGTGAAATACAGATTTCGAAGAAATTCGATAAGATCATTGAATCGTTGTTACTTTTTGGTGAGCTTTTAGAAATAATATGTACAAGTACTCTACCTCCATTCGGTGAATTGAATGTTTGAGCTTTAGGTGAAGTTGTTGATGATTCCCTGCTTAAATCTACTATGCTGCAAAATGCAAACAATTATAACGATCAAGTTCCAAATGAAATTCTTGATGATTTCTGTCTATCCGAACACCTATGAAGTTAAATTATTGTCTAACATCAAATTACGATATACACGAAGTTTAGGATCTGAAAAAATATTATCTACTACTGAACGTTGAAAATTTGTCATTTAAATTGTTTAAATTTGTTAATTTGATGATGTCTTCACGCATGGGATTTGAATAATTAAATTATCGAGATAGAATTGAAATCAAAATTCTTATGTTTCTTTGGATGGTAACCACTCAAAAATTCAATATTAGAAAGCAACCTTTGCATATTCAAGAAACGATCGAGATTTTCTGCTGCTATGGGCATTTCTGATGATGGTAATGATAATGATAACGATAATGATGACGTTGATAATGGTGAGTTAGATAATGTCAATGCGTAAGCATCGAGTACCATGCCAGGAAAAGCATCGAATCCATTCCTGCTTTCCTCCGAATTTATCCTCAGCAAACTCTCCTACCGTATCCAAAGATGTCGACAATATGCACCGCCCCATCCAGTCTTTATTTTTATTGGTTCTCTTGTTAGTCCAGGCCTCATCTCGACTATCTGTCCAGCAGACCAAGCTTTAGGCCCAAGAAATAAAAGACCAGATCAAGAAAGGGATTTATCAAAAATTATTGATCACCTTGGCTCCAAGCTTTGTCATTCTTTCATGGAAGCGGTTATCGGTGCATGACAAATGCTATAAGTATAAAATGCTTGGAAATGGATGATCTGTTGATTTACTAAAGTTCTTGAGCAGTACAATACTTTAAATATTATAAATTAAGAGTAACTTGA